AAAGTTTCAGCAGTCTTCCCAGTTTGGCCTTTTGTTTGTTTGTTTCTCAGGCCCCTCCATTTCCACTTGCACTTTTTTGAACTGCTCAAAAAGCAGAAGATTCCATCTGGGAGCAAACAGGGAATATCCCAGTGGCAGCAGCTGCAATAAATTTCTTGCTCACCTCTTGAAAGAAAGAAATCTATTCCTTTGTCCTTTGCTGCAGTTTCCTCTACTGCATTTGAAATCAAATTTCCCATTTTGAGCTTAACTTTGAGCCCTATCTTGAGGCACCACTTGTAGCTGATCTTTGCTACTTTGTGGTTTCTTCTTTTTCCCACCCTTTAGTGCCAACCCCCACCCCCTTACCTCCTATCACTAGATAGAAGCAAAAAAAGAACAGAGAGAACGAGAGAGTTCTTGAATCTAATTTTTCTTTGCTTCATCTTTAGCATTACTACTAACAAATAGCAACTAAACCCTCCCCCCAGGCTCCGAATCACCAATAACCACCAGCTTTCCCTCGCAGGGCTCTTGAATTTATAGACCCTTTGAAAAGTTCCCAGAATTCCAAATATCACACAGTCACAGGAATTATCTGCAGCTGGCAGAACCACAACTCTGCTAGAGCAGGAGGCAAATCATAGTCAGCTGCTGTGGACAGTCTGAAGCAGCCCCACATCCCTACACCTGGGATTTAAAACGAAAGCACATTCCTATAATATTTCTCTCTGTGTGTGTGTGTGTGTGTATGTGTGTGTGTGTGTGTTTTTCCCCAAAGAAACCCAAATTCCAGAATTCTTACTACAGATGGCCCTTTAGACAACAGAGAAACTTTGCTTTAACTTTTAAACTTTTTAAAATTTTTTTTTGGTGGACAAAGCTTTAGTCAAGAAGAATTTCTGTGTAAGAGCAATCAATGGCTTTGTCTAATTCACTGCCATATCCCCACCATATGCCTGGTTGAGTGTTTTGTAGGACTTCTTTAACAGCAAAACACAAGATCTATACTAGGTGCTTTATCACGTGTTCAGTGACTCAAGTGAGTCAGCAAAAGCTGAAGACAAAGGAGTTAAAATATAAACAAGCTCACCTGGCGGTGGTGGCGCATGCCTTTAATCCTTGGAAGGCAGAGGCAGGCAGATTTCTGAGTTCGAGAGTTTGAGGCTAGCCTGGTCTACAGAGTGAGTTCCAGGACAGCCAGGGCTACACAGAGAAACCCTGTCTCGAAAAAAACAAAAACAAAAATTATATATATATATGCTGAATTTGAAGCTAAAATTGTGGAATCATTGGAACATTAGGAAACTTCTTATATTTAGTATAAATATTAAATACTATATTTTTATAAAAGTCTGCTTTATGTGTGTGTGTGTTTTGCCTGCATGTGTGTCTGTGTACCACTTGTGTGCCTAGTGCCTGAGGAGGAGGCCAGAAGAGGGCATCAAATCCCTGGATTACAAATCATGAGCCACCGTGTGGGTGCTAGGAAGTTGGTCTTCTAGAAGGACAACCAATGTTTTTTTAACTGCTGAGCCTTTATTTCTCCAACCCCAAACACTACATTCTTGTTCTTGGCATAGCCCAAAAAATTAAAGAAATGTTATTTTATAATCCCAACAATAAGCCTATGAGTTATATTCAGTACTCTCCTTGTACAGTTGGGTGAACAAGGGAATAGATTAAAAAAAAAAGTAATCTGCACACACATAACAATCATAAAACTGGTTAGGTTCAGAGCCAACATCTAAACCTAAGTACTTTAACTCAAGGTCATATTATTTATCTGGACACAATACTAGGATGCAAACCGGGTTTTTATTGGTTTAACCTTATAATACAAATTAAATATATGGTTGTTATGGTTTGTATATGCTTGGCTCAGGGAGTGGCACTATTAGACCGTGTGGTCCTGTTGGAGTAGATGTGGCCTTGTTGGAGTAGGTGTGTCACTGTTGGTGTGGGCTTTAAGATCATCACCCTAGCTGCCTGGAAGCCAGTATTCTGCTAGCAGCCTTCAGATGAAGATGTAGAACTCTCAGCTCTGCCTGCACCATGCCTGCCTGGATGCTGATGGATAGATGGATGTTGGTTCCTGCCTTGATGAAAATGGACTGAACCTCTGAACCTGTAAGCCAGCCCCAATTAAATGTTGTTCTTATAAGAGGTACTTTGGTCATGGTGTCTATTCACAGCAGTAAAACACTAAGACAACGGTCCAGGTGTGGTGACTTAGTATTGTAATCTCAACACTTGTGAGGCTGAGGCAGGAGGATTGCCACAAGTTCAAGGCCAGGTTAGACCACAGAGTGAAACCTGGTTTACAGAAAGATGGCTCAGAAGATCAAGGCACTTGGTCATGAAGCCTGGCAACCTGAGATCCATTCCTGGGAACCATATAGTGGGAAGAGAGAACTGACTCTTGTAAGTTGTTCCTTTTCCTCTATACATGGGACACAGCACATGGACCCATATGCATACACACATATATAAGAAACAAATAGGTAAGTAAATGGAGGACTGTGGAGATGGCTCAATTGGTATTTGCTGTGTCAAGTATGAGTACCTAAATTCTGGTTCCCAGCATGCACCTAAAACCTTCGGCACTATGCATCTGTAATCCTAGAGCTGGGGAGAAGGAGACAGGAGGATCCCTAGCGCTTGCTACTGTCAGTCTCATTCTTCAAACTCTGGGTTCATTGATGGACTCTTTAAAATAAGGTGGAGAACAACTTTGGAAGGTACTGATGACCTCTGATCCCTGTAGATGCATAGGTGGACACACACACAAATTTGTACTTGTGTATCTGTTGGGCTCTAGGTGAGTTTCTGATCTGTCCTTTTTATCTTCTTCCTATATTATCTTCATGTGGTTATGTTCATCATAATTCTTTGTTGTTTTCAAGACAGTGTTTCTGTGTAGCCGTGGCTGTCTTGGAATTCACTCTGTAAATCAGGCTGGCCTTGAACTCAGAGATTCACCTTCCTCTGCCCCCCAAGTGTTTGGATTAAAGGTGTGCACTGCCATGCCTGGCTCTCCATCATAATTAACTATATATATATATTTTGCAGTATTGGGTTTTGTTCGTGCTAACTAGTATTCTATCACTTAGCTATATTCTCTTTTTTTTTTTTTAAAGATTTATTTATTTTATGTATATGAGTACACTGTAGATAGCTGTCTTCAGACATACCAGAAGAGGGCATTAGATCCCATTACAGATGGTTGTGAGCCACCATGTGGTTGCTGGGAATTGAACTCAAGACCTCTGGAAGAGCAGTCAGTGCTCTTAACCGCTGAGCCATCTCACCAGCCCTTAGCTATATTCTCTAGTTCAACTTTTAAAAATCAATTTTTAGGTATTTAAAAAATGTGTTTTTCTTGCATGAATGTGTATGTACTATATGAGTGGCTGGTGCTCAGGGAAGTCAGAGGAGGGCTATGGATCCCTTGAATGGAATTACAAATAGTTGTGAACCACCACATGGGTGCTGGGAATAGAACCTGGGTCCTCTGAGGAGCAACAAGTGCTTAACTATTGAGCAGTCTCTTCAGCTCCTGTTTAAAGAAATCTGAAACATCTTCATAGCTAGCCTAGGCTAACCTGGAACCTCAGCATCCCAGTGGTGGATTTACATTTGTGTACCATGTCAGGCTTACAATTTTATTTCCATAGTGATTTGAAGAACGTCTTCTCTACTGTCTCTAGCACTAGTAATTTCTAACTTTTAACCATTGCTTGGTTGCTAGCTGTCTACCTGAGGCAAGTTGCTTAATCTCTCTGACCCTGTTCCTTAATAGATATGGGTTTAAATTTCAAGTCTGTCACATGTGTAACTTTGTCTTTTAATCTATACCTTACTTTTTTCATCTCTTCGATACGATGACCAGTACCTACCTCATAGAGAATAAGAATTCATCTAAAGCTCTCAACACAGTGCCCTGCACAGTTCTTGTTGCCCCAAAAGTTATTATTCTTTCAATGTGTTTATTTGTGTGATAATTAGTTCTCATCTCCAGGGAGCTCAGAAAGAATATTCATGGTGTTCTAGAAACGTTGAATGTAGGCGGGCCTAACCGCTTCGAGGAAGTAGGAGGTAGCCAGGCTAGCAAAAGAAGCTGGGCCTTGACTTGGCTAGTGCAATAGGGTGGGGTGGGAAGCTGTTTCCTCATTGAAAAGAAAAAGACCAAATCCCAGAGAATACACTATGAACACCATAAATTCGGTAAATTTAGTTACATTTTTTTCTTTCTGCTGTTATGCTACAGTCAGGAGAGGACCGATCAGAAGAAAATTAACACAGGAGTCCCAAGGTCTTGGGCACAACGGGGCAGGCCACACCCCAGAGAGACAAGGCCCGAGCCCCTAAAGCTAGTTCTGTCCTTAAATTCATGGATTCTGTCGCGATGAAACACCACCCACCCAAACACAAGAGCCCAGCGCCGTCCCCAGTCTCCATCTTTAGACGTGAAAAGAATGAGAGCCTGCCAAAGGAGAATCCCGGTTTTGAGAGACTAGGTGGTACGGCGGCTGCCAGGGGACCAAAACGTCTATAAGGTAAAGCTGCAGCCCGAAGCGATTTTTTGACCCCCGACACTAAATGGGCTGTCGAAGACCCGGATGTGTCTGGGACTGGCCGAGGTACCCATTAACGCGCCCCCGCTAGACCATCCCCCTTCTCCATTTAGGATTGGATTTTCTTGACGCCAATCACTACTTCTCCAGCCACCCACTCTTCAAGGGTGGGGTGAAGTCTCGGTATCCCTCTTTCTATTGGTAGGAGCAAGAAGAGGAGGGCGGGTAGCCGGCTAAGTTCCTCCAATGGCCGTCGTGGCGTGTGGTTAAGGCGGAGTCAAGGCGCTTGGCAGCTGCCCAATCAGCGTCCTTGTTTGTGTGGTGCCGCCGCCGCCGGTGCAGCCGCCGCCGCCGCTGCTGCCCCTGTCTGTACCGCAGTGTCTGCTCCGCCCGCCCGCCCTCCCCGACCCGGCCCGCCCCCTCCCCCACCCCCGCTCCTGGACCCGCCAGTGGGGTCTCGATCCCACTGTGCCGTCGCCGCCTCCTTTTTCGACGCCTTCACGGCCGCCTGAGGAGGCGACCTGGTCGGGAGTTCTGCCGCCGCTGCCAGGTGAGGAGCTCAGGCCTAGGCCAGCCTGGACGCCAGGCCGCCCGGGGGCGGCGAGGAGCGACGGAGGGAGCGAGGCTGCGAGAAGGCAGCGGTGGGGGAGGGGAAAGGTGGAGGGCGGGGGGAGGGGAAGCGCCCGCGAGCCGACGCCCGCCCGCGCGCCCCCGCCTGGCGTCCCCTCCCCCAGCCCGGCCCGCGCGCCCCCGCCTCGCGCTCCCCTTCACCTCTTCCCCTCCCCCCCGCGCGCGCGCCCTGGTCTTTCACTTAGGCCTCGCGCGACCCGGCTGGTGTCCCTTCGTGTCTTCTCTTTTTACTCTTTCTCCCCTCCCTCGCTCCCCGTTTCCCTCGCCATCCCCCTTTTCACTCAGTACCTCATGCCCGCCATGCTCCGCTCTTCTCCGGAGCGTCCTCTCTGTGTTTTTAACTCTCCGCCCCCAGTAGTGCCCTCGGGGTGCGGGGGCCGCTCCCTGCACTGAGTCCTGTGTTCGATGGCGGGTAGAACGAAAAGGGGATCCTTAAGGGCGGAGGAAGCACTGGATAATTATCTTTATCTGGGGGGACAGGATCAGGAGTGCAGAACCTTACCCCTTTATTTCGTCGTCCACCGTTCCCTTGCCCTCCGGAGGAAAAGGGAATAGTCTTGACTTGCGTGGGTTACTTACCTTGTATAGCAACTAAACCACCCATTTTCTCAGTTGGGCTTCTGGGACACACTGGATCTGTTTCCTAATTCACTTCTTGAGAGTTGATGGAACTAGAACTTACCCTTCCCGACCAAGTCAGGACTTAGAGTACTTTTTGCCTCCTTGGGCACAGTTACCTGAAGGAGCTAGTTACTCCAGTGAATGAAGAGATTTAGGTGTTAATCGCTGTCCCGGGCAGCTTCCCGGGTCTGTAAAGGTATGGTGCCTTCTTTGAGTTCATCCCCAGCACTCAATTCCCTCCAAACATAAGATGTTCCTTCATAAGGACTGGCTCTGAGGTGGAGGTGGAGGTGGAGGCATTACTGGTGGGTAGGTAGCATGTGGATGCTGAAGTTAGCAGTGTTTCCCTGTCCTCTTCTGGAGAGTAAGGTAGCTTTCTGAGAACCAGTGTTCTCATTTGGTAAATGATTACTTGAAGGGCTTTTGTGTGTATGCTTCAGAGGTGGGAATAATGTAAATTAAATAGTCTTTTAGCAGAGAGAGGCAGTGTTTTTATTCCTACCCAGCAAGATTTGAGATAGTGCTTGAAATTGGAGTAAAAGTAGGTCTGATCTATGAGGATTGGAGAAGAGCTGATACTTTTGTAGTTTATTGGAGCCGTTCCTTTTCCAGAAATTTATAATTTAAATAGACAACAGATGAATGTGGCACAAAGATTGAAGAAATCTTCCCTTCCCACCTCTTGTCTTCCAACCATCTATCTTATCCTTCCTATAGCCATGACTGAAGGTTTTTTGGCCTCTGTATAGTGTCTTTAAGTTGTTGGGGATTATCCTGTTTGAGAGTTGAGTGATTTCTTTATTGCTTTTTCTTTGATACATGGACTTAAATTCTTTCTTGAAGTCTGAGGACCACTCTGATTTATATTTTTGGTGTAGGAGAAGTCTTGATAAGAATTGTCCTAGAAGGAGCCTGGAGAGATGGCTCAGATTAAAAGTACTGACTACTCTTCGAATTCCCAGCACTCACAAGGCTGTCTGAAACTGTCTATAATTCTAGTTCCAGGTGATCTGACACCCTCGGGGTGGGAGAAGAGAGAGAGAATATTGTTTTAGACTAGGAACAGTTTATGTGCTTGATTGGTAAGGAGGCGACTTCTGGTGATATTAAAGATAGTTGTGTGGAGGGATTAAACTCATTTTGAGGGAAGGAAGATATATTTGTTGGAAATAAAACACCACAGATGCTGGGCTGGGTCAGGCATAGACTTCCCTTGTTTTTTTTAAGAAGATAGGTTTATAAATAGTCCATGGTGAGTATTGGTCTGATATAATGACGATAGACTTTTAAGTCTGGGGGCAGTGAAAGTTATGGAAGAGGTAGGTATTATTAACAGGAGTCAAAAGGCTGGACCTCTAGGTTGAATGGCATAGTTTGAGAAGAGATGAGGTTTGTGTAGATATTTATGCTACCTATTCTTGTTTTTGTTTTGTTTGGTTTTTTTTGGTTGGTTTTTGTTTTGTTTGGTTTTTCGAGACAGGGTTTCTCTTATAACCCGGGCTGTCCTGGAACTCACTCTGTAGACCAGGCTAGCCTCGAACTCAGAAATCCACCTGCCTCTGCCTCCCAAGTGCTGGGATTAAAGGCGTGCTTCACCACTGCCCGGCTGCTACCTATTCTTTAGTTGAGGACATTTTTAATGAGGTGAGAGTGATTTGTGCTTGACATCAGTATCCATCTTTATGGCGCTGACTATGACTTCCCCTGACTATGTCATGTCTGTTAACTTCCTGTTTAGAAACAGTCTCAACAGGGTTTGAATAGAAGCTTCGTTAAATACTTGTCTAGAAAAAAAGTTATTCTGGTTCCCTGGTCAGCCCTTCAAATATAAGTCCTGGCAGTAACTTAAACTGTGTTTAGCATAGGGGCACAGGGAGAGAGATGTGAGGAATTTTTTTTCTAACCCTCACAGCTCTACAGTACTTTCTAAAGGCTGTGTTCTCTAGGATCATGAATGTAATCGCAACACTTGGGAAATTGAAGGAGGACTCTTTGAATTTGAGGCAGCATAGACTACATAGTGAGTTCAAGATAGTTAAAGCTACTGAATTAAATTAACACATTCTCAAGACAACAACCAAACCGCAAACAAAAGAGCTGGTACAGGTCTTTCATCCTGAGCTGGGGATTAGTTCTTCTCCTGACCAAGGTCATCTTGTGTTTTATATCACCTTTGAGCTCTTCTACATCACCCCCCTTAAAAAAAAAAAAGAAGGCCTGTGTGTTTTCCTCTTTGTTGTGGGTGGTGGAGTATCTCTGTCACTCTCTTGGTTCCACTAGGCCTACTGGACACTCTAGATTGGGCCCTGGTTAAGAGTACAGTTGAACACCTTTTTTATCCCAGCACTCAGGAGGTAGAGAGGATCTCTGTGAGTTTGAGGCCAGTGTGGTCTACAGAGTGAGTTCCAGAACAATTATGGCTATAACAGAGAAACTGTTTTGAAATAAAGGGGATAAAGAAAAGTTTGAAGATTGAAGAGGTCTCATTGTGCTCAGAAAGGCTAAATCGCAGGATTCCTTGTCTTTTTTTCTTTGAGACAAGAGTTTCTCTACACAGCTTTGACTGTCATTGAATTGGTGCTATAGGTCAGGCTGTCCTAGAACTCACATCCATCTGCCTCTGCCTCCTGAGTGCTGGGGTTAAAGGTGTGTTCAATCACTCCTGGCCTCCTTGTTTTAAGCGGTAAGCTATGTTGTTTGCCAAGCAGACCTCTCTCTCACCTCCATTTAACTGATTTTTGTTTCTACCCAAGCTGTGTAGGGAAACAGCAGCTGTGCTGTACTGGTTCTAGATTCTGGAGCATATTCTCTGTTAGCCACCCGTTTAGGAGACAAGCTAACAAGCAGCCCTTCTGCACTTAGCTTAGGAGGCTCATGTTGCGAATTGAGAAAAGTCAAAACAGATTTGTTCGATGAAAACAACTGCTAGAGAAATCATAAAATTGAGCCATAAGTGGGTTCAAAGGATTTTGTTTCCTAGACCTTTGCAGGCTTTACAGCCCAGTGTCTTTAGATACCAATATCAAGCATTTTGTGACGGAAAGGAGAAAAAAAAATACACACCTAGGTTGATTCCAATTCTAGTTCTAGCATAAAACTGTCCACCTGCTTATTGCTTGGGGGAAATCCCATCAACATGATGCCACAGAGTTGCAGATCAATTAATTTTGGCCTAGTATGGAAAAAAAATGGTTTTTGTGAAAACAATGGCTTTGGGGAAGAAGGTATCTATTTTTGCTTATATTCCGTAGTACTTTCTCTTTGGTAGATTCATAAAATGCTTCAGTACTACCTGAGTTCCTAGGATAGGAGAGGAATGACACATGGTCATTAAGACTTTATAAATTGCTTCTGTGATATGTATTGTTTTCCTCAAAATACCTTAAATTGCCATTGACTTGACTAACCTACAACTGGCCAGAAACTTCAAGAGTTTGGGATTATAGTAGCAAGAGTAACAGGTGCATACTTTGTTTCTGTTTTATTTGGTTTGGTTTCTTTTTTGAGATAGGGTCTGGCCTGGAACTCTCAAGAGATTGCCCTATCTCTTGAGTGCTGGGATTAAAAACCTATGCTACCATGCCTGGCTAGTTTGTTTCTTTTGAGGTGTAAAATGTTCAAATTTCAGATTTTTATAAAAGAGTCATTGTAATTGCACATCTTTGGTATGAGAACTTGTTTGGGACAGTTTCTTACTGTAGCTCATGCTGGTCTTCAACTCCCAGTGTGATCCTTTTGCTTTAACCTTCCAAGTGTTAAGATTAAAGGTGTGTGTCATCCCACCAGTTGTGTTTGCTTAGATTTATTTATTTAGGTTTTTTTGAGTTAGCAACTTGCTACATAGACCAGGCTGGCCTAAGACTCCTCTTTGTCCTCCTGACATAGCCTCCCAAATCCTGGGATTACATACAGGTATGCATGCCTACACCCACCTTTGATTTTAATGAATTAATTTAGTAGTGATAGAATATTTGAGACAGGCTCCCCTTATGTCTGGAATTCACTGTGTGGACCAGGCTGGCCTCAAAGTCATAGAGTCTATTTACCGCTGCCTCCCATGTTATTATTATTATTATTACTTGAGCCTAACAGACTTACTACTTTAAGATTCCTGATCAAAACTGTTGATTTTTGTCTTGTTTGGACTGTGTACAGAGGAGTTAAATTTGTAACCTTCCAAAATATGGATTGGGATGTAAAGGGAATTTATATTAGGCGTCAGGAATAATAAATTCTTAAGAGTAATTGTGAGGGGGCTGGAGAGATGGCTCAGCGGTTAAGAGCACTGACTGCTCTTCC